TATGTGCTCAATACACTTACTGATAAAGACGAGAGATTGCTGTGCTTGTACACTGAACCATACGGAATTAGTCTGTTGTGTCACTGACATCACCTAAGGATATGAATGCAAAAATGCCATAAAATTTTTTAAAAAGCTTTTGAGTGCTGGGCCTCAATAAGACATTATTTTCATCTCCAATGGACTAGCTAAAGACAAGTATTCAACGGAGTTGATTTAATTTAGGGCTCACTGCTTGTTGGACAGAATCCTATAGTCTTTTTTTTATAGTTCAGTAAAAAGAGGGTATAGCTCAGCCTTGGGCAGCATATCATTGCTTTTGTGTTCAAATTGGAGATGAGGACAAGTCTCACATGGATATAGCCTAAGGTCTGCTTTTGATATATGTTTAATGTTATTGCACTGAATGTATCTCACTTGGCTCTTTTGAGTTTCATATAAATGAATTTTTTTCTATTGCTGTTCCCTTCTTAACTGTATAATTACATTTTTAACTGCAGTCCTGTAAACATATACATTTGTATACAAATAAAAAGTAGCTGCTGAGATTGAGAAAATGTCCAGTGCTTGAACTGCATTAGCATTCGTTTTGTGCTTATCAGGCCAGAGCTGAGTGAAACGTGTCCATTAAATACCTTGAGTTTGTGTGTTGTGTTATGATAGGGGATATAATGTTTCCTGTATGTGTTTCATGCTGTCACAGGGATTTCAGTGGCTTTGCAGTTATGAACACCTGAGCCCAATTCCACAGGGAAGAAGTGGTCGATATGTCTTTACAGGCCACTATGTAAAACAAGGAGGTGTTGAGATGCAGTCAACCTTTTGTTTTAAGGGGTCATGACATGTTGGAGCTGCAAGCAAAGCTCTGACATATAAACAGCTTTAGGGTGGTCTGATATTTACAGGCAGAAGAAATGCACTTTTAGTCTGATTTTGTGAGTACTGATATCTGAACACGTGCGTTTCTATTAAAACAAAAGCAACTGGGACAAAAAAAATAATTATTTTCAAATAAGCTTTGCTTGCAATATGACTGTGATTTATGATATATACAGTAGCGATTGATTTAAGACAACACATGAGCACTCTATTTAACGGAGCAAGATGTTTTTGGACAATGTCTGTGCTGTGCTGCATGTGAAAGCATCATGAGTGCTTTTTGCATTGGTAAATATTGTTTGATTGCTTACTGATTGCTTTTATTGATTTTTTCATCTTTCTATTCTTTAACCCAAATTTTTGCAGTTGTTTTATTTGTCTGATCGAACTCATTATTAGTTTTATTTGTTGTTTATTGCTTATAATGTATTAGATTAATTAGAATCTAGAGACATGGATTCACAAAACAATCTTAAAGGGATAGTTCAGCCAAGAGCTTTCTGACCCTGCATAGACAGCAACAAGGTAGTTCCCTTGCTGTCTATAAAGCCCTCGGATTTCATAATTTGTGTTCAGAAGATGAACGAAGGTCTTACCGTTTTGGAATGACATGAGGATGAGTAATTAATGACAGATCTTTCATTTTTGGCTGAACTATCCCTTTAAGATTTTTTATTATTTTAATTTTTTTTTATTCATAAAGCAAAAACAACTTCTTGTCTTTTTTTCTTAACTTTGTACTTAAGAGAAAAAAGACTTCACTTATCTTTGTAAATAACCTCTTGAAGTTAAGATGCCCTCACATTGACAAAATGTTCTCAACATACATATTACTATTTTACTTGTATGATTTAGCATTCTTATCAGATGTTTGTGTTCCAGATGGAAATTTCATAAAAAAATAAAATAAATAATAATAATTATATTAATTATAATAATATCAAAAATGATTACAGGGAACTATACAGGTTATGTATAAAAAGTTAATAGATTTCTCTATTTACAAACTTATAATTTATATGAAGAGTTTTTTTTTCTTAAGAAGTTTTTACGGTTAATATTTGATAACTGCAAATTCTAATAACATCATTGCACATTTATGCATGTAAAACGAACAGTTTATACTTGTTTAGTTAGAATGAATTAGAGTTATATCAATATTATCTGTCCTGCTTTGGTCATATAAATCCTCATGCTGTTTCTGTTTGTATATAGCAGATATACGGTTTCTTGGTTTTGCAGTACATTGCTTGTGCTATAACCGCATGGCTGCTTGAGTTTGTGACATCTGTCCTCCTGAATCCAAACTATGCTGCATTCATTTTTTTTCTTTTGCTGCACAGCCCATTCTGCATTCTTCATTGGCCCATATGTATGCATCTCTATAGTGTATAACCCTACTAATTATTTAAAAAGCCAAAATTACATGGACTAATGGATTTAAGTTTGATTAATTGCACAGCCTTAATGAGAATAATGAAAAATTAAATATATGAGGAAAACAAAATTACTTCAAATACCATAACCATTTGTTCTCATAAGTGTTTACCATGTCCATATATTTCAAAATAAATATTCCAGCTGAGTTTCATTGGATGAACCTTGGAGTGTGTGTATGTGTGTGTTTGAATTAGTTTAGGGATTATTGTATCTGCCAGTAAATGATGTATCAGTGGCGGTGAGCAGGCTTCTGGATTTCACTGATTACACGCTGGAGCAGCAATCTGTGCAGTCAAGGTTACAGATAAGGATTAAAAACGTAACCGGCGCAATAACGCCGCATGAATGCAGGCCGAGCGCAAGCCCAGCGAATCATGCGTGACCGTCACTGCTGCGAGCCGAGTCACAAGCACCTTTGATGAAAATGTTGATATCAAATCACAGCTGAGTGCCGAAATGCACCAACACCCTTAAATCCACGCACGTGTGTGTTACCGTACCTGACGTGGAACAAAATGCCAAACGCGTGTCGTTAAGCACACGGGAGATGCACATTAATTAGGTCATTGCAAACTGTGGCATGCTAATCGCAGCATTGTGATTCTTAATTGCAGAATTGTTGGAATCCATTGAGGAGGCCCGAGACAGCTGGTATGCACACATTTTCTGCTTTCTTTTTTTTTTTTTTCTCTTCATTTTCATACTTTTTTTGGATTTCGTCCTCTGGGACACGGTCCAATGCAATGCACAGTATGGGTCCTTTTCGCCATGTTTTCCCAAATTATATGTGTTTCTGTGTGAGTGTGTGTGTGTTTAGAGGGAAAGAAAATTAGGTTTTCTGTGTATGCCTGTGTATGAATAATTCTTCATGCATGCATGTGTGCACATGTGTGTCTGTGTGTGTGTGTGTGTGTGGGGGGTCATTTTGAGTGCACCTATGCTTGTGTGTGTATCTGTGAGGTGTGAATCTTCCTCATTATCTTCACCCTTGTCCGGCTCTTCTTCCTCCTCCTGTGTCCGCATAGACTTAATATAACCCCATTATAATAATTCATGCACATATAAAAACCCAACTCCCTTTGGTTAGTACATGTAATTACATTTCTAAGTTTTTTTCTCTCTTTATCATGTTGAATGCAGAACTGATTGCTTGACATTTGTTTCGCTTGGTAAATAGGACAAATCATGCACTCATCATGCAATAGTTCAGCTAAAAATGACAGTTCTGTCATTATCTATGGAAGAAAGAAAATCAAATAAATTTGAGGGTGAGCAAATGATGACAGATTTGTCATTTTGTTAGGGCAAACTGTTACTTTTATTCCACTTGGGATGGGTAATGCGACTGCATTAATATATTTTTAGCTGATCAATGCAGACTGAAATTCCCTGGAGAAGATGTTTAAATTTAGCAAGAGGACGCTGATCTTGGTCGATGCTTGTTTGTAATGGTGGGCATTGAAAAGCCCTCCCAGTGTGACAAGATTTTTGCTTTATGGATTGTTATTTGTTTGAACTCTTGCTGTTTCAGATATTCGTTTTATCATTGACATCTCCCATTGAGACTGTTTTAAAATAGCTCGCCATCAATTTGTTTACTTCAGGTCTGCTATATGAGATGCTTTTATCTGCACTGAAAGGAGAGAAGTAATATTATAGAATGGGTAAATGTTGTCTCAGACAATTAAAAGCATAGAGAAAAACTTCACTTAACAGGATGTGTGATCATATTAGCTTGCTAAGGTAAACTTAACTGTTGGGTCATTAACATAATGATCATTTATTTGTCTGGATCTGTTAAATTATTCAAAAATACATTACATAAACAATTCATACATACACAATGCGTTTAAATGTTAGTAAAATACACCCAAACGTTGTTTTTCCTGAAGTCGTAATTAAATCAAAGATGGAGTAAAAAATTGAGGGGGAAAAAACGTTTTTCAAACTTTTATTTAGTTATTTATGTATTTATTTATTTATTTATTTGTTTATTTGTTTGTTTGTTTGTTTGTTTGTTTGTTTGTTTATTTATGGGATTGTTTGTGTAATTTACTGAAAAAAAACCTTTCAAAATATTTATTGAGCTAACTATTATTTATTATTTATTTTATATTAATTTAATTATAATTTATATGTATCAATGTTGTAAAATTATAAATATAGTCACCTAAAAAATATATACTATAATATTTTCATTTAAAGTTCTCTATTCTCTATTTTTTTTGTTAATTGAATGTAATTAAATTAAATCTTAACAAAATCAAAAGACAATAATAATAATAATAATAATAATAATAATCTTTAAGTCTCTTAAAATATTACTTACTTTTTCATGACATTTTCATGACATTTTCAAGTTTTACAATTTTGTAAAATGTTGTTCAAAAACCTTATGGTATTTTTGATTGTAATATTTGTTAAAAACATCTTAAAATATACATTTATAATATGTATCATTATTATATAACACCTTATATTAATATAATAATATATTTAAGCCTCTTAAAATATTAGATAATTTGACATTTGCATGACATTTGCAGCTTTTAAATACATACATACATACATAATGTATATATGTAAGTAATAATAAATGAATACAAAGTTTTTTCCTTGTCTGTATTGTGGACACTCTTATTTGTCATTGACGGTTAAAGCTCTGTCTCTGTCTCTCACAGGAATTGATGTCCACTATGGCCACGTTTCGCTTTGGGCAGCACATCATAAAGTCCTCGGCTGTGTTTTTGAAGACGGAGTTGTCCTTCGCACTAGTCAACCGAAAGCCGGTCGTGCCTGGCCGTATCCTTTTCAGGTTTACCGTAGCGACTGGGGCATTACACTGAGGTAAAGCGAGAGCAGGTAGGATTTTCAGTCTCTCTGTGTTTGCTGTGGAACAGCGCTCTGAAGAGCAGCGCTGTCGCTCCCTGCTGTTACTCAGCAACGGTTTGCTCTTTGTTAAGTTTGGCCTGACCTTCGTGTTAGGGCCGTATCTCCAGATGTTTACCATACAGCGCTGCACAAGAGCTTCTGTCTGAGAACAGGCCTCTGGGATTGGCTGAAAGTTTTGCTGTCTTGTGTCTAAAATGACCTGAAAATTCCTGACAGATTCCTTCTGAGTAATGGTCATGAGTCACAAGTCTAAGAAATAATGTCTTTCCATTTTTAAGCTAAATAAATCATTTCATTTATGGTGTATTTTATACTTGCAATGCACCTAGGTGAACTAAAATGGCTGCAGTTTTCCTATAATCAAAAAAATAAGGTTAAATAAATAAATAAATAGTTGATTAAAAAGTTAGTTATTTGGTAAAAGAGTTGGCTATTATATATACACATAATATATAACACACAATCTCTTTTTAAAGAAAACATTTGGCAAATTATTGCTGATTATTTCAAATCAATGTGAAATAGAAAAAAAAGTGTTCATTGTCATGAAAAATAATGTTTTCATTACAAAAATAACAACAACAACAACAACAAGAATAAAGTACTAATTTCAGATTCTATATAAAACATATGCATTTTTTCCAAGCCATGTTTTATACTAAATCTGTCAGAAAATCAAAGCGACAAATTTAAATTGTTTCAAATTTGAAGTAAAAAAAAAAAAAAGCATTTTTAGATGAAGTTATGGCTGGTATATGCACATAATCCTATACAAATATTTGTTTGTTGTTTCAGATGTAATGATTGTTTCAAATAATTATATTTAAAAAAGCATTAAAAAAAGCATTAAAAGCAATTAATCATGCCCCTGATAAATGGTTAGCACCTACATATACCCCCCCAGCAAATATTTATAAATGGAACTAATTGCAATGATTAATTGGAAAATTATGAAATTCAGTTGATTGAACATTTTCCAGTCAGTCGACATCCTAGAAGTTAATAATTTAGATATTCAATTTGCAGACATTTGCTTTGTTTTGTGCGCTTCTTTAAATGTAGCAGGCACAAACTGTGCTCTTTTCACAAACTGACTCGGCTGCATGCAACACAAAAAGCCAAATGCCATGAATCATCATCAGATGCACCATAATACATTCTCTTCTTTTTATGCTTTGCTTCAAAAAGAAAGCAGGTACTTCTGTGTCTATTAATCTTAGTGCTCAACGTGCAAATGCAAACATGAATACATTTGCATGATTTCCATTGCTGATTTGTTTGAATAATATCCTTATTCTCTTTTCGAATAGCAGTAAGTCCTTGGCTTTGCGGCAAAAGATCTTCAAGTGCTGCTCTGTCTTATGTAAGCCTCTATGTTTAGATTAACTTGTGATGGAAAGCCATTTTTCACAGCATTATAGGCCACTGCAGCACAATCCTAAAACCCAGCGAGAGGCAGCAGTGTTTGGAGGGCAAAAGCAATGCATTAGCATTATTTAATTGTTACTCTCACAGTCCGTGAAACATTACAACACTGCCAGGAAGTAGCAACGGCTGGAGAGCTAAAGGACAGAGCTGCTGCTGTGTATAAGAGAGCCATGTACTGTATAAGAGGCCTATAGAGTCATGTTTGTCAGTGTATCAGTGTTATTATCTGTTTCTTTATCACCAATATTCCTATAGACTCCAATCTAGTGTTATGCTTCAGTAAGACTCTGTGGCAGATGTGGCTTCGTATTCTGTATTTAATGAAGTGACATTTAAACATTTTAGTTGTGACTTAAAAAGGTATATTCCAGGTCCGATACAAGCTTAGTCAACTGCATATATGGCGTAATGTTGATTTACCACAAAAAGTATGTAAGTAATTTTTTCACATCCCTAATTTTCTTAAAATGAATGAATGTATGAATGTATGTTATGGTGAGGCGGTTACAATGGTAGCCAATGGGGCCAATTTTGGGAGGATTTAAAAACACAATTGTGAAGCTTATAAAAGCATTTTATAATTCATAAATTATTAGAGCTGTTATGTTTTTCTCATCATTTTCACAGTCATTTTAGGATTTTAAGCATTATTTCATCCTGGCAAGTAAAATTGGACATAGTTGTACATAGAAAAATATAGTAAGTGACACATACCGGGCCTCATTTATCAATCTAACATAAAAACTAGCTCAGATCCATCCATTTATTTATTTATTTGTTTGTTTGTTTGTTTTTTTAAATCTAGCAAATTGGCCAATACTGATACTGGTTGATGTTTTTTTTAATTTTTTTTTAAAGCAAATTTATTTATATTGGTTATTTGCTCCATAACAAGCAAACTGGCCTTAAACAAAAACATCTGATGACATTTGAAATTGCGTATAATTTCAGGATTTAAAGCAAAAACAGAACAGTCTGACTTTAGCTTTGTGAAATTATGCTATATAAAATATCTGCATGAAACAAAAACAGAAGACGGACTGATTGAGGACACTGATCTATAATATAATCATTGTATGTAGATCAATGATTGATGCCCTGTTTACACTAGTGCATTTTCGTTTTAAAACGGCATTTTAAAATGAAAACGATCCTCGTCTACACTGGCGTTTTCACTGCGTTTCAGAAACTATCTCCGTCTACACTACACAACCGAAAACGCATGTCACATGACTATTCATGCAGGTACAATCATAAATGTATAGGTAGATTCCCTATTATTTAGATGGCGGCGGACGTGTCTACCATAGATATATCTATGGTGTCTACGTGCTTGGAGCAGTCGAATGGGGAATCTACCTTTACATATCTATGGGTACAACAATGAGCATGATGTTATTGTTTACACGGTCGTCAAGGATACGTCGAGCGAATGTGGGATCACCCACACCATCGTTTTCAAAAGTCTCCGTTTTGCTCCGTTTACACTGAAACGCAACCCCGTAGTTTTCAAACTAAAATGGGGTCTGCAGTGTTTTCAATAGTTTCCGTTTTTGAGGGTCGAAAACGCAGGAGTTGTGTAAACGACAGGCGTAACCGTAGCAAAAGTTATGCGTTTTAAAATGAAAATGCACTAGGCTCCATAACAAGCAAACTGGCCTGAAACAAAAACATCTGATGACATTTGAAATTGTGTATAATTTCAGGATTTAAAGCAAAAACAGAACAGTCTGACTTTAGCTTTGTGAAATTATGCTATATAAAATATCTGCATGAAACAAAAACAGAAGACGGACTGATTGAGGCCACTGATCTATAATATAATTATTGTATGTAGATCAATGATTGAGGCCCTGTTTACACTAGTGCATTTTCGTTTTAAAACGGCATTTTAAAATGAAAACGATCCTCGTCTACACTGGCGTTTTCACTGCGTTTCAGAAACTATCTCCGTCTACACTACACAACCGAAAACGCATGTCACATGACTATTCATGCAGGTACAATCATAAATGTATAGGTAGATTCCCTATTATTTAGATGGCGGCGGACGTGTCTACCATAGATATATCTATGGTGTCTACGTGCTTGGAGCAGTCGAATGGGGAATCTACCTTTACATATCTATGGGTACAACAATGAGCATGATGTTATTGTTTACACGGTCGTCAAGGATACGTCGAACGAATGTGGGATCAGCCACACCATCGTTTTCAAAAGTCTCCGTTTTGCTCCGTTTACACTGAAACGCAACCCCGGAGTTTTCAAACCAAAATGGGGTCTGCAGTGTTTTCAATAGTCTCCGTTTTTGAGGGTCGAAAACGCAGGAGTTGTGTAAACGACAGGCGTAACCGTAGCAAAAGTTATGCGTTTTAAAATGAAAATGCACTAGTGTAAACGGGGCCTGAGACACAAATTCACTCTCTGCCAGCAGGTGGCGCTTATGGAACAGCCACGATATTGTGTTTCCTTGGTTACCGCTGTAAACAAAGCAAAGCTGCGCTTATAAATACTACTTTATACAGAGGTAAAAGAAGAAAATGGCATTGCCATCTAAACTTTTCTCAAAACAGTCAGTTCTCTTCAGTGATATATTAGTATAACCCCACACCCTCAATTCAATGTTAATATTTTCTTCCTATATTTCGACCATCGTGAACCGTGGGATCAACTGGGACAGTGATAACGATCTACCAGTCGATCGCTGTTTTCCCATTGAAATGGACTACTTTTACACTGTTGCTGCAGGTTGTTTTTTAGTCTTTGGGTTAAAGCGATCTCCCCACCTCCCCTGGGCTAAAAAAAACGTGACTAGGCTAGTTTTCATTAGCAATTGGGCTGGTTTTGTTTAGAAGACCTGGCAACCCTGTTTCCGGGTCTGTACCTTGGGTTGTTTTGCCAAGTGTATGGTGTAAATTCAGATATCGGTTATAGTCAACCATTTGGAATTGGGCATGAAGACCTGCAGTGTAAATGCTGTCACGGTGAATGTGTTGAGGAAGTGTGGCTCGGTGTGTCTGAGCTATTTCCTGAGCTCTCTGCACCTTTCAGTGGGCTAGCAGTGTTTGTATCGTATCAAAGCTGTTCACTTTCTACATGCATCAGTTCAGAAGAGTTTGGAGAGGTAGACAGCGCTTGGCAAAGATCTTAAAGCTCCCCTGCAACACAGTGAGGGGGTGAGGGGGCTTTATGTGGGGAGCGGGTCCCTGGGGCAACGCTGCTGAATCCCAGCGGCTTTAGCTGGTGTGATTTAAGTTAGTCCACATCCCAACACATCGCCACATGAAAGGGCTCTGTTCCTCCACACACACTTATCTTCTGCTTCTAAACTATTTTCTCCGCAAGCTTTCTGTCTTGTTTTATCGTGAGTAGGGTTTGATATGGGGGTGGGGATTGTTCTTACACTAGTTCAATGCCAGTTTCCATATGGCATATCACTGACCAAACCTACACAGAATCAGATTTATCTGCTCGTAAAGTCG